GTGAGTGTGTGAGTGAATGTGTCAATAAGTGAGTGTGTGAGTGAATGTGTCAATAAGTGAGTGTGTGAGTGAATGTGTCAATAAGTGAGTGTGTGCATGAGTGAATGAGTGAGTGTGTGAATAAGTGAGTGTATGAATAAGTGAGTGAATGAGTGAATGAGTGAGTGTGTGAATAAGTGAGTGTATGAATGAGTGAGTGAATGAGTGTGTGAATAAGTGAGTGTATGAATGAGTGAGTGTGTGCATGAGTGAATGAGTGAGTGAGTGTGTGCATGAGTACATATGTTACCAACAACTACTGCCGGTGGGTATCGTACATTGTACTATATTGTACGTGCGGGGTGTTATGTACATGTTACAAAAGGGGGGTATACTGACCTCTTGGACCACACAGAGATCTACCGCTGACGTACACATAGGATATGTGCACGTGGGTACTCGTAAAACTTATAGTAGTACTCGTAAAGATCAGCAAAAGTACATGTATAAGTGCTTGCACGTAGCTGGGTATGTGTGCAAGCATGTGTACGTGGGTGTGTCCGTGTAGATGTGTGATGGTGATTGGTTCAACCCAAGCACGTGTGAAATATTAATCAGTGAAATTAATTAGTTGACGATCCTTACGTTATCAGTACACAAAGCTCTACTCTGTACACTACAAGTATCTCTATTGGTTTTTATTCAGGTATGATATCGCCTTGCCTGTCTGGTTGAGAGATTTCACGGCGAATTCCATCTACACAAAACTATTGTACATGGGAGTGGAACTGTTGCAAAAGATGCGTGACTACAAAGGTGCGAGATTAGTAGTAACTCTGAAAAAACTCGTAAACTACTGTAAATGCCATGTTTTTCGCGTACAGATATTTTCGCGAATTCAGACTTGACGGACAAATTTCGCGAGTCGTTAATTTCGCGCGGTTGGCGAATTATGAATTGTCCGGTATTATTCGGTATGAATTATCGCGTGTTGTTATTTTCGTGGTCGGGGACGCGTTCGAAAAATTTGCGAAAATTAAACCACCGCGAAATATATAGTGTATACAGTATGAAGGTATAAGATCAGCAGGCTAGCCCCATCGCTCACACACGCTCCTTCTCTCTCTCTCTCACGATCGACTGCATTTGCATCTCACCCAGTCGTCGGCTTTTTCTGAATTCTAATGCGTTTTCTAATGGATAAATTACTGGATTGTGTTCCATTTGTTACATCGTTCGCTGGATTTCATATCCTCCTATGCACACTATTTCATTAACTTGCTGTTTTATTACCTTGGCGTGTCGAAAGAGCGAAATGCGCGTTGTCGTTTTGCGATGGCGACGTTTCGTATCCTCTGACACAATGACCGGCTGTTTCATTACCTCAGCTTCATACCTTTCATTACCTTTTCTTTTCATTTACCTTGCCTTTCATTTACTTTTCCTTTTCATTTACCTTGCCTTTCAGTACCTTTCCTTTTCATTTACCTTACCTTTCATTACTACCTTTCCCTTTTCATTTACTTTACCTTTCAATTACCTTTCCTTTTTCATTTACTTTACCTTTCATTACCTTTCCTTTTAATTTACCTTTTCATTTACCTTGCCTTTCATTACCTTTCCTTTTCATTTACCTTACCTTTCATTACCTTTCCTTTTCATTTACTTTACCTTTCAATTACCTTTCCTTTTTCATTTACTTTACCTTTCATTACCTTTCCTTTTAATTTACCTTTTCATTTACCTTGCCTTTCATTACCTTTCCTTTTCATTTACCTTACCTTTCATTACC